TGTTGAAGACCAGCCTGGCCAACATGGTGAAAACCTGTCTCCACTAAAAATACAAAAAATAGCCAGGCATGGTGGTGGTGGACGCCTGTAATCTCAGCTGCTCGGGAGGCTGAGGCAGGAGAATCGCTTGAACCCAGGAGGTGGAGGTTGCAGTGAGCTGAGATCACACCATTTTACTCCAGCCTCGGCAACAGAGTGAGACCCCATCTCAGAAAAGAAACAAAAACCCAAACAAACAAGCAAGGCTGTTCCTTCAGACCCGACTGCCCTGAAAGCAAGAACTCTGGCAGCCCTTTGCCTCTGTCTGTCCCAGGCCGTGTTTTTGGGGCCCAGGGGCTCAGGGCTATTTGTCGGCCTCACCAGCACATGTGCAGACACCCAGACGGGCTGCGTTGTGTCCGACTGTGTCTTTTTAATTCAGTTTGCTGCTTTACTGAGTATGACAGGTCCCTTTCAATGCTCTTTGAAAACTGTAACCTTAATCTAAAATAAGGTACAAAAAAGCTCTTTGTTAAAAACTTTTTTAGGACAGGTCTCACTCTCCTGCCCAGACTGAAGTGCAGTGGCGTGGCCACAGTTCACTGCTGCCTTGACCTGGGCTCAAGTGATTCTCCCACTTCAGCCTCCGGAGCACCTGAGACTACAGGTACATGCCACCATGACAGGCTAATTTTTTTTTGAGACAGAGTCTTTCCCTGTCGCCAGGCTGGAGTGCAGTGGCGCGATCTCGGCTCCACCTCCTGGGTTCAAGCAATTCCCCTGCCTCAGCCTCCCGAGGAGCTGGGACTACAGGCGCACGCCACCACGCCCAGCTAATTTTTTGTGCTTTCGTAGAGACGGTTTTTACCAGGTTGGCCAGGATGATCTCGAGCTCCTGACCTCGTGATCTGCCCACCTCAGCCTCCCAAAGTGCTGGGATTACAGGTGTGAGCCACCGTGACCGGACGACAGGCTAATTTTTTTTTTCTGAAGCGGAGTCTTGCTTTGTTGCCCAGGCTGTAGTGCAGTGACATGATCTTGGCTCATGGCATCCGCTGCCACCTGGGTTTAAGCGATTCCCCTGCCTCAGCCTCCTGAGTAGCTGGGACTACAGGCGGGCGCCACCATGCCTAATTTTTTTGTATTTTAGTAGAGATGGGGTTTCACCATGTTGGCCAGGATGGTCTCAATCTCCTGACCTTGTGATCCACCTGCCTCGGCCTTCCAAAGTTCTGGGATTACAGGCGTGAACCACCGTACATGGTCGACAAGCTAATTTTTAAAAAATGTTTGTAGGCCGGGCGCGGTGGCTCAAGCCTGTAATCCCAACACTTTGGGAGGCCGAGGCGGGTGGATCACGAGGTCAAGAGATCGAGACCATCCTGGTCAACATGGTGAAACCCCGTCTCTACTAAAAATACAAAAAATTAGCTGGGCATGGTGGCGCGTGCCTGTAATCCCAGCTACTGAGGAGGCTGAGGCAGGAGAATTGCCTGAACCCAGGAGGCGGAGGTTGCGGTGAGCCGAGATCGGGCCATTGCACTCCAGCCTGGGTAACATGAGTGAAACCCCCTCCCAAAAAAAAAAAAAAAAAAAAAAAAAAAATGTTTGTAGATGGCTGGGCATGGTAGCTCACACCTGTAATCCCAGCACTTTGGGAGGCCGAGGTGGGAGGATGGCTTGAGCCCAGGAGGTGAAGACCAGTCTACTCAAGATGGTAAGACCCTGTCTCTACAAAAATAGAAATAAATGTTAAAATTATAAATTATGAAAATAGAGCAATAAAAATATAAACATTAATTATAGGTCACAAAAGTAGAACTTTACAACTCCAGTGGCCCCAGCATCTCAGGAGGCAGAAGTGGGAGGCTTGCTTGAGCCCAGAAGTCCAAGGCTGCAGTGAGCTATGATCGCGCCACTGCACTCCAGCCTGTATGACAGAGCGAGACCCTGTCTCTATTTAAAAAAAAAAACGTCAAGATGAGGCCTCACTGTGTTGCCCAGGCTGGTTTCAAACTCCTGGGGTCAAGCAGTCCCAAAGTTCTGGGATTACAGGCGTGAGCCACCGTGCCCAGCCGTAAGATTCTATTTTTTAAAAAGCATTTTGGTTGACAGGGGTGCCTATGAAAGAAAGAGAGGACCAGTTGGTTCAACAGCAAATCCATACATCCCGAGCCACAGAACAACCTAAGACCTGGGCGCAGCCAGCACATGGGGGCACGGGTGTTTCTTTAATCCACTGTCTGGCGGAGCTCACTGAAGACGGGCATGGGGCGCAGCCAGCACGCGGGCCCGGTGTGTTGGATCCGCTGTCTGACTGAAGACAGGCCGTTCTTCTAAATGAAGAACGCGCAGCAGCAGTGTGGGGGCCTGCGCTGTTCCGGTCTGGCTTTCCTCCCATTCGGGCATCGGCTTCATTTAGTGCCGAAAAGACAAAGCTGTGGGATTGACATTCCTTGTGTGGCACTGTTTGTTTCTCAGACCCCCAGGGGAGAGGCCTTCAGCCAGAAGCCAAGTCCTCTGAGGACACTGCATCTCTAGGACCCAGGCGGGGGTGGGGGGCTGGCGCCCCGCTCTGGAAGGACAGCTTTGAGAAGAGGCCTGCCTGGCTCAAGCCTCTGGTCTCCTTGGGGCCTGCTCCTTCCTCCCAACTCACCCCTGCTTTCTAGGTGCACCTCAGCTGTCATTCAAGGTAAGTCCTGTCTTCACAGCTAAGGATTTGATTTCAGTTTCTTTAAGCAATTTCCTTTGGAAAACATCTAGGTAAGACACAGAATGGGCCCAGGAGCAAAGCCGTTCAGAAAATCCAAAGTAGATGAGCTGTGTGAACTCACCGTTGAGGACTATGGATGCAGTCCTGGCTTCCAGGGTCTGAGCTGCACGGTTCTTACGTAGGGACAGAGAGCATCGCCGTCCCTCCCACCCAGAAGGGCTCGGGCAGGCTGAAACGCCGTGAGTTCAAGGAGATGCCTTGGCCAGGCCACAGGTGCTCTCTGGGTTCCCCTCGGCACCATGTGGCCCACAGTCAGACAGGCTGGACAAGAGCGGACAAACCTGACATCCCTCCTCATTATGTGTATATATTTTTTGAGATAGTCTCACTCTTGTTGCTCATGCTGGAGTACAGCGGCTGGATCTCTGCTCACTGTAACCTCTGCCTCCCAGGTTCAAGTGATTCTCCTGCTTAGCCTCCCCAGTAGCTGAGACTACAGGTGTGTGCCACCATGTCTGGCTAATTTTTATATTTTTAGTAGAGACAGAGTTTTACCACATTGGCCAGGCTGGTCTTGAACTCCTGACCTGAAGTGATCCACCTGCTTCGGCCTCCTGAAGTGCTGGGATTATAGGTGTGAGCCACTGTGCTGGCTCCCTCCTCATCGTAGCTTGACAGTAAAGAAGCTGGCTAAAACCCACCAAAACCAAGATGGAAACGAGAGTGACCTCTGGTCATCCTCACTGCTACATTCCCACAGCGCCGTGACAGTTACAAATGCCATGGCAATGACAGGAAGTTACCCTCTATGCTCTAAAAAGGGGAGGCATAAATAACACTCCTCCGGGCTGCTGGGTCTATTAACCATTCTTTTGTTCCTTTACCTTCCTAATAAACTTGCTTTCACTTTATGGACTTGCCCTGAATTCTTTCTTGCTAGAGATCCAAGAATCCTCTCTGGGTCTGGATCAGGACCCCTTCCTGGTAACACTGGCACGGACGGTTTAACCAGGACTGTGCATTATGGATTTTGTCATCTATCCCGCAGGCCCTGAATGAATGAACCACCTCCCAGCACACAAGCAGATGCCAGGTTTTTCCTTCGTGGAGGGATGATGCTGGCTTTCTGTTTGCAGCAAGCTGTCTTGGATCACCCATGTGACTTGGGACAAGTGAAATCCCTGTTTCCTTATATGAAAGTGACAGTAAGGGAGGTAAGAGGAGGGAACTTTGCCAGCCAGTCTCTAAGATCTACCTGCTCTGAGTCTCTGAATTTAAGCAGGACAAATATCCCTTATCTTTGCTAGGATGTGGACTGGGCTTCCACTGTCACAGCCAGGGACGTCCAGGGCGTGCCCCCTCTTCGGATCTGCCCTGTGGGTCTGGGTGAGGCTCCAGCTCCAGGCCCTCAGCTTACACCCATCAGAACCCCAGGGGAGGGTGGCCGGTCGGAGTGGGGCCTCCCTGCACTTGCTGCAGACCTCGGAACACCGGCAGCTAAAGAGAAGTGTTCCCAGTGGGAATGAGGCTTCGTGGTCAGACCGAAGGGGAGGGGAGAAGTCCTGTCTCTATTTCAGAAGGGATTCTCCTGGGGGCGGGGGTGGCAGAGTGGTTGGCCCCTGAGTGAAAAGCTGTGGCCCCGCTGGGCGGCCTGTGGCTCTAAAGGCAGCCCGAGGTCAACCTGCTGCCTTGTCCACGTGCAGGAGGACACTGTAGGAGTGTCCACTTGTCCACTGTAGGCGTGTCCACTTGTCCACTGGAGGCGGGGTCTGCGCCAGCTGCAGGGTGTCCAGCTGAGCGCCCAGTCCGGGGGGTGACCGGGGCCTGCGGAGCCCCTTGAGGACTCGCGAAGGCCCCCTTCCTCCGGGACAGGCATGAGCGCAAGAACCCGCCCTGCTGAGCCAACAGGCGGCTGCGGCCATACGAAGCGCATTAACGATTAATAATTTCCAGTTGTTGCTTCGCGGGCTCCCCGGGCCTCTGCACCTCCGCAGGCTCCTGCTCCCCCCGCCCCCTGACAGCCAGGTCTGAAGCTGTTAGCGCCTCCTGGGTCCCGCTGGGACAGGGCGAGGGGTCAACGCGCCCCCAGGGCCTCGGCCCGAGCGGGTACCCGCATCCACCTGTAGCGGGTGGGGGTCCAGGCGGGGCTGGGGGTCTTTCCCGCCCACCGATGAGGGCGGGGCCGGGGGCGGGGCGGAGCCGGAGGGGCGGGGAGGAGGGTGGGGCCGAGCCGGAGGGCGGGGCGGGGCCGAGTTGGGGGCGGGGCCGAGTTGGGGGCGGGGCCGAGGGCGGGGCGGGCAGCGGCGAGAAGCCGGCGGCGCGCGGGCGGCTGGGCAGGGAGGGCGGCCGGGCGGGCAGCGGCCCCCGCCCGCGTCTGCGCCCCTCGCTCGCGCAAGACCCCGGCTTCGGTGCCTCGGGCCCCGTCGCCCGTCGCCATGGTGGGCCGGCTGAGCCTGCAGGATGTGCCGGAGCTCGTGGACGCGAAGAAGAAGGGCGACGGCGTCCTGGACAGCCCGGATTCGGGGCTCCCCCCCAGCCCCAGCCCCAGCCACTGGGGGCTCGCGGCGGCCGCGGGAGGCGGAGGCGGCGGGGAGCGCGCTACGGCCCCGGGGGCGCTGGAGCCCGACGCGGCGGCGACCCCCACGGCTCCGGTGAGTGACCCCCGCAGGCTCCTGCTCCCAGAACGCGGCGGCTGTCGGGCCCGGGAACCCGGGTCTCGGAGCTCTGTGGGATCCCGGGATCCCTGGTCTCGGAGCTCTGTGGGGCCCGGTATCCCCGGTCTCGGAGCTCTGTGGGGCCCGGGAACCCCGGTCTCGGAGATCTGTGGGACCCCGGGATCCCCGGTCTCGGAGCTCTGTACGGAGCGCGTTCCTAGCAGGGAGCCCGGGGCGGGAGCCAGCTGGAGCCGGTGGCTGGAAAGTTGTCGTCGCCCGGGAGGCGCGGGAGTCCCGGGAGCGCAGAGCCGTCTCCTCCCTTCGGTGGCGGCCCGCGGGCTGCCGGGCTGCGGGGGGCGCCTGGAGGGAACCCTTGCCCGCCCGGACCCTGGCCGACACCCCGCGGTTTGGGCTCCTGGGACTCCTGCCTCCTCCCGGCCGCCCCGCAGCGCCTTCGCCCCGCGATCCCCACCCCAGAGCGAAGGCCGCCTCCCCGACCTTTCCAGAAAGGTTCCGCCCCAGCCGCGGCCTCGAGGCCCCTCTTTGCCGGAACCCTGGGAACTTGATGGCTGGGAGGCCTCTGGGCGGTGGAACCTTTTATTTTGATTTAAAGTTTTCATGGAAGGAAAAAGCTCCCCCTAAACTGTAGCCCTGAGAGTCGCTCGGACGCCGGTGTCGCTGCGGAACCCACGGAACCCACATCCTGCCTGCGGTCTCAGCGACGCCCCAAGGGGGCTGCAGCCACGGGTGGGATGTCAGCCCTCCCCGGGTGAGGTCGGCGGCACGCCGCTGTTCCTGGGGACCCCGTGGGGGCCCCGCGGTGCTGGTGGTGTCGCGCTCCACCCTGACTCTGGGCTGGTATCAGGGCAGGGTCCTCACGTCCATCCCCAGGCGGGGCTGCTTCATCTCGGCCCTCAGTGCCCTCCCGTCCCGCCGCGTCCACCTGCCCCGGCCGCAGGACGCGCACCCCAGCGTTTCTGCTGCGCCCTCCGCCCTCGCACCCAGGGCCTCTCTCCGGAGTCGTGCTGGTCCCTCAGTGCCCCTCTCGCATCACCTCCGCCTTCCTTGATGCTCCCCAGGGCCTCGCCAGCGTCCACGGCTGCGTCCCCATCCCCCAGTGGCTGTTCGTTCATGTGTCTGCTGCCCCCTCTCCGCACCCCCGCCCCGTCACCCCAGCCCCAGCCTGAAGCAAAGGCGGTGCTCAGGGTGGGCAGGAGTGGAAGCAGAGAAGGCGAGAGAGAGCCAAGCTCCCTGGGGGTGCCTGGAAGGCGGTGCTGGGTTCACAGAAGCACCCACCTTCTCATGGGGACACCTGGGAGGTGCCCGCTTCAGTTGGGAAGGGTCTGGCAGCCAGAGAGCTGGCGGGGGAAGCAGGGCCGGCTGTCACTATGTGGGGACTGTTTGCAGAAGCTAATGCCCACACCTTATGTACCCCGCACAATTCATCCCCCACACAATTCACCCCCACACACGACTCACCCACACACACGATTCACCCCCCTACAATTCACCCCCCACACAATTCACCCACACACACGATTCACCCCCCACATACGATTCACGCCCCTATAATTCATCCCCCACACAATTCACCCACACACACGATTCACCCCCCCACACATGATTCAGGCCCCCCACACACAATTCACCCACACACACGATTCACCTCACACACAGATTCACCCCCCACATACGATTCACGCCCCTATAGTTCACCCCCACACAATTCACCCACACACACGATTCACCCCACACACAGATTCACCCCCCACATACGATTCACCCCCCTATAGTTCACCCCCCACACAATTCACCCACACACACGATTCACCCCGCTACACAGTTCACCCTCCCACACACAATTCACCCTTCCACACACGATTCACCCACACACACACACACAATTCACTGACCTTGGTTCCCACCCACAGCCCCTCCTCCACCCCGGCCTTGCTGAGCCTCCACCCAGGCCCAGGATCTGGACCCTCAGGACCCACCCTCTGCCTCTCCCATCCTGGGCGAAAGTCCTTGACTTTCGCAATCCCAACCCCCTTTTGACACCTAGTCCTGGTCTCAGAGCCAACCTTCTAGCCTTCTAGAAAGGTTTGCCTCCTCCTCTGTCCTGGGACATGCGGGGGTGGGGCCGCCACCACACCCTGGCCCAAATGCACATCCTTCTCTCAAACTAGGTAAAGAAAGTGAGAGATCCCTGGTAAACAAAGGGCTTCTGGGCTCAGACTCTGCACCGTGTTTAACTTTGCCCGCTTAACACAGACGCCCGGATTCCTGCAACCTGGTGAAAGCCAGCACCACCTTCTAGAACCTTCCTGGTTAATCAGAGTCCCACCCAGTGACCTGGCTGGAAGTGCTGCTGTGCTCTGCTTCGCTGAGCATGCTGGATGGTGGAGGGTGACAGGGAGAACATTTGGTGTCTTTTTTTTTTTTTTTGACACAGTCTCAGTCACCCAGGCTGGAGAACAGGGCACGATGTCAGCTTACTGCAACCTCTGTGTCCTGGGTTCAAGCAATGCTCGTGCCTCAGCCTCCCCAGCAGCTGGGACTTCAGGCACCTGCCACCACGCCTGGCTAATTTTTGTATTTTTAGTACAGACAGGGTTTCACCATGTTGGCCAGGCTGGTCTGAAACTCCTGGGCTTAAGGGATCCTCCCGCCTCCGCCTCCCAAAATGCTGAGATTACAGGTGTGAGCCACTGCGCTTGACCAGATTGAATCTTTGGTTGAAAAACAAAAAGTTCCCTGGTGGCATATTTTTTGTTTTGGCCTTTCCTAGAGTGTTGCTGAGACGGAGCGCTACGGAATGGAGGGTTCTGGCGAGGTGAGCCTCAGCTCACCAAGGTTTCCCACCGCATGGCCGGGGGCGGGGGCTGGCTGAAGCTACTTTCCTTTCCCACAACCTCAGCAGGGGAAGGGGGCATCACCTTGCTCTGCTGATACGGTCACAGGGCATGCGATGTGACTCCCCTGAGGCACATGACACAGTTATCGTCAGCCTGGTATTTGAACCCAGATCTCTCAGCTTCCTGCCCAGTGCTTCTCTGGTGTGCCCAGCAGGGGGGACACAGATCCCAGCCAGGCCCATCAGCTGGAGGCTCAGAGCCATAGCCTCCTGTTGGCCATGCTTCGAAATGGCCTGTGGGGGCCAGTGGCTCACGCCTGTAATCCTAGCACTTTGGGAGGCTGAGGTGGGTGGGTCACCTGAGGTCAGGAGTTCAAGACCAGCCCAGCCAACATGACAAATCCGCGTCACCATTAAAAATACAAAAAAATTGGCCAGGCATGGTGATGCATGCCTGTAATGCCAGCTACTCAGGAGGCTGAGGCAGGAGAATCGTTTGAACCTGGGTGGCAGAGGCTGCAGTGAGCCGAGATCATACCACTGCATTCCAGCCTGGGTGATGGAGTGAAACTCCATCTCGAGAATAAGAAAGAATCAAAGAAAGAGAGAGAGAGAGAAAGAAGGAAGGAAGGAAGGAAGGACGGACGGAAGGAGAAAGAAGGAAGAAAAAGAAAGAGAGAAAAGAAAGAAAGGAAGGAAAGAAAGGGCTCACAAAAGCTCTAACTGCATTCTTCTCTGTCCTTAAGAATCCAGCGCCTCTGCCTCTGCCTCCCAGCTGTGCACTGAGGCTGTGCCCCCTGTCCTTTGGCGAAGGAGTGGAGTTTGACCCCTTACCACCAAAGGAAGTAAGGTAAATATAGAAATACAGCAGGCCCCACTTTCACTCTGTTCTTAACAGTTCATTTTTCATTCGAGATATTAATGCTTGTTATTAAAAACATTAGTTAATTGCAGAAGTGTGCCAAAGGTGATTAATAGTTTGGTGGGCCCTCTGTTTTCTCTGCATTCTAACCAGTGCACTATATAGACATGCTTTTTACAGTAGGAATGAGACCGTGTTATGTGTAAAGCTCTGCGGCTTCTATTCTGCACGTCACATACCGTGGCCGTCAGAGGCTTACATTTCTGTCAGAAATTAATTCTTCTTTCCAGAAGCTGCTGCCCCCGACTCCCTGACCTGCAAACCCCTCTGTGAGGTAGTGCAACCTTGTCCCATGGTCAGTTTCACTAGGCAAGTGCCGGTCTTCTCCTGGGAACCATCTCATTCAGGACTACCTGGGGGCAAAGATGCATTCAGAGGCTCGGTTAAGGACAGGCCTCTTTAGAGACAGGAGTTTTACTTTTGGTACCTGGTGGTTTCATAGCTGGAGTTTCAGTTGCATTAACACAAAGGCCCTTTGACATGGAACAAAGGAGAGGTTCATCTGTTTGGAGACTTGCGGCCGGGACTTCTGTGCCTGTGAGGCTTGAATTCTGAACAAAATGGGGCCGGGACTTCATGACGTCTGCTCCCACCGGCCCTTCACTACTTACCTGAGGAGGCGAGACTTTGCCATCCGACTCACAAAAGAACTCTGATTCTTACTCACCCAGCCATGGGTAGGGGCTGCTTGGGGGCAGTGCTGTTAGATGCGTCTGTATGTGACGCTTGTACACAGTTCGGTATCTACAAAGCCATAATAAATCAGTAAAATGCATGAAAGCTTTGCTTCTATAAGAAAACTAACTTCCAGGCCGGGTGCAGCAGCTCACTCCCATAATCCAGCACTTTGGGAGGTCGAGGCAGGCAGATCACGAGGTCTGGAGATTAAGGCTATCCTGGCTAACATGGTGAAATCCCGTCTCTAGTAAAAATACAAACATTAGCCAGATGTGGTGCCGCGTGCCTGTCGTCCCAGCTACGGGGGAGGCTGAGGCAGGAGAATCGCGTGAACTCGGGAGGTGCGGGTTGCAGTGAGCTAAGACTGCACCACTGCACTCCAGCCTGGGCAACAGAGCGAGACTCCAGCTCAAAGAAAAAAAAGGAAAACTAACTTCCGGGCCAGGCACGGTGGCTCACGCCCGTAATCCCGGCATTCTGGGGGACTGTAGCAGGAGGATGGCTCGAGACCAGCCCGGGCAACAGTAGTGAAACCCGTCTCTACACAAAATACAGAAATTACCTGGGTGGCGCACACCTGTAGTCCCAGCTACTCAGGAGGCTGAGGTGGGAAGATCACTTAGGCCTGGGAGGTTGAGGCTACAGTGAATCGATTATGCCACTGCACTCCAACCTGGGCAACAGAGTGAGAACCTCTCTTTTTTTAAAAAAGAAAAAAATTAGCAGTATTACCTACAACAACAACAAAAAAAGAAAAAGAAAAAATAAGCTGGGTCACAATGGCTCATGCCTGTAATCCCAGCACTTTTGGGAGGCTGAGGAGGGCGGATCACCTGAGGCTAGGAGTTCAAGGCCAGCATGGCCAAGATGGTGAAACTCCATCTCTACTTTAAAAAATGCAAGAATTCGCTGGGTGTGGTGGTGGGTGCCTGTAGTCCCCAGCTGCTTGGGAGGCTGAGGCAGGAGAATTGCTTGAACCCAGGAGGCGGAGGTTGCAGTGAGCTGAGATTGCACCACTGCACTCCAGCCAGCAGAGCAGGACTCCATCTCAAAAAATAGACGATAGACAGATAGATAGATAGATAAGAGCTGATTGATCCCTGGAGGAGACAGAGAAACTGGCCCCCACCCGTGGAGCCGTGGAATCCACCTCATTACGTAACAGTTACGGTGACAGCACTTGCCTTGCTCTGTGGAAGGCTCCTTTTATTCTCAGGCATCCTTTACGGAAAGGAAACGGAGGCTGGGGGAGTGCAGTGACTTGGCGGAGGTCTTAGCTTATGTGAGTGGGAGCGGGACCCAGGGCTGCTGCCCGCAGTGGCTGAAGGGATGCGGGGTGGGCTTTGGAGGCCTGCACCCTGCGTTTGAATCCCGGCGCCACCACTCAGCGGCACCGTGACCTGCGCCTCCGCACCTCGGTTCCTCTCTCAGGCTTGTTGGGAAGATTACATTGGAAAGTACTTGGAGGAGTTCCTGGCACACAGTAAGTGTTTTCTAGACCCTATGACCCTGTGCTGCTGCTCCCTGGAGCGGCCACTTTCTGCATGTGCAGCCACAGATGACTCCAGGTCACGGTAGGGACCCCAAGCCCCTGGCTAGAGGAGCGGCTTCACGCAGCCTTGTGTCTCCCGCCAGGTACACGTCCTCGGTCACGTACGACTCGGAGCGACACTTCGTGGATGGCGTGCAGCTGCCCCTGGGCCTGGCCGTGGCCTCCTGCAGCCAGACGGTCACCTGCCTCCCCAACTGCACGTGGCGCAACTACAAGGCTGAGGTGCGCCTGGAGCCGCGCCACAAGCCCGCACGCTTCCTCAGCACCACCATCGTCTACGGCAAGTACCCCAAGACCGTCTACACCACCACCCTGGATTACAACTGCCGCAAGACGCTGAGGCGGTTTCTGTCCAGTGTGGAGCTCGAAGCCGCGGAGCTCCTGGGCAGCGACGACCTCTCGGATGAATGCTGACTCGGCAGGCTGGGCTGGGGCTGGGCGGCTCTTCCGCTGCCCTGACCACGACCTCTCCAGGCTGGGCTGGGGTCAGGGTCAGGGTTAGGGGGACCGGCTCTTCCGCTGCCCTGACCACGACCTCTCCAGGCTGGGCTGGGGTTAGGGTCAGGGTTAGGGGGACTGGCTCTTCCGCTGCCCTGACCACGACCTCTCCAGGCTGGGCTGAGGTCAGGGTCAGGGTCAGGGTTAGGGGGACCAGCTCTTCCGCTGCCCCTGACCTCACAGATGACTCGGCAGGCTGGGCTGGGGTCAGGGTTAGGGTTAGGGGGACCGGCTCTTTCACTGCCCTGCCCCTGACCTCTCCAGGCTGGGCTGGGGTCAGGGTTAGGGTTGGGGGACTGGCTCTTCTGCTGCCCTGCCCCCAACCTCTTGCATGACTCGGCAGGCTACACTGGGGTCCCACGGCTCTTCTACTGCCCCCAGCTACCCTGGCCAAGCCCGGTGGCCTTGCCCTTCATGTCATTCTAGCCCCAGAGGAGTCTAACCTAGAGACACCTCCAAGTCCGGGGAAGAAAAAAAATCACTGCGTCTCATAATGACTGAGATCTTTGTGTTTTAATTTCAAGCTGTTTTTGAAAAGAGTGTTTGTCCTGCTTTGCTGCTGTGGTGTTTCCCCAAAGTCTCCATCTGATGAGGCCATAAAAAGGCCATGAGGAGGCCGGAAAGCAGCAGCGGTCTGGGATGGGAGGGAGGGAAGCTCCCCATCCACTGGTCAGTTCCTCAGAAGAAGAGTGTGGAAATGTCCTGGGATGGAAAGTGAGATTTAAGGAATTTCAGCCGCGGGGTGTTCACTGCATAAAAGTGGTGCTAATTCAGTAAACGGTGGTGCCGTGGGGTCCAGTCTGTGGAGAGCTGAGCTCCCTCCTGTGTGTTTAAATTCCCACCTCCTTTTGTGTTTCCTGTTACCTAAAGTCTTGCAATTCCCTAAATCTTTTTCAAGGTAACAACAACAAAAACCCCAAACCACAATATAAGATGCCTTAAAAAAAAAAAAAAAAAAAAAAAAAAGATTGGCCCTGTTGTCGCCTGCTCCGGGAAGGCCAGGGACGTCCTCCGGGACGGCAGGTTTGGGAGCGGTGGCTTTGGTTCTGGTTGCTTCCTTGTGGTCAGTTCCAAGCGCAGACTTTGGCAAAACGCCTGAAACCCCTGGCATCTGGTGACAGTCTCCGCAGGCTTCTGAGGCTCTCCTGATAGGTGTTTTGGGGTTTCAGAATACTTTCCAGTTTTCTCACAAGGCAAAACAGAGGAGAGGGCTTTTTTTTTTTTTTTTTGGAGAGAAACAGTATGTTTCTCTCAAAACATACTGTCGGAGTAAGAGTATGCTTGGAAAACACACCTTTTGGGAGTCCATGGGGGAGAGGATACTTGGGGCAGGAACCGGTGGCTCTGACCCGAGGAGGCGGACGCGGATGACGACTGGGTTATTCTGAGAGGGGCCGGGCTTGACTCATTCTTAGGACTTCGATGGCGTCAGAATTGGCGGGATTCTGCCAGTGCCTTAGGACTAATGCAAAAAGCAGTGAAGGCCGGTGTGGCGGCTCGTGCCTGTAGTCCCACCTACTCGGGAAACTGAGGCAGGGGGAGCTCTTGAGCCCGAGAATTGGAGACCAGTCTGGGCAACATAGTGAGCTTCTATCTCTAAAAGAAAAAAAGGCGAGGACATCTCTGCCCCCGACCCCCGACACCAGCCAAGCTAAGCTGAATTGGAGTAGGAATGGCACAAAAACCTGGCCGCTGTCATGGTGTCCTGCGTCCCTCTTATGGGCTGTTCGAGTGGAAGCGATAGTCGGGGAGCTGGAGTCAACTGAAGATGTTCGCGAGGTTGACCCGGCCCAGCGGCGGGGCGGGGACCAGGGTTCGAGGCCCTGGCCCTGCCTCCCGCAGCCCGCACTCCCCGGTCTCTGCTCCTTAGAACCTTCCACCCATCCCTGTGGTGTTTGGGTAAAGAAAGTGGCAGACGGTCTTTTTTCTTCCAATATTGGAAATAACAAACTAGATACTTACTTTGAATCCACCCAGATTATGTCAAGCGCCCAAGGCCTGCGGAGCGCCGTGAGCTCAGCCTCCGCCGTGGCTCTGGTTTCCGTGGACGGCTTGCATCTGCCCCGACGCGGTGCCCAGAGCCACGGCGGGGACTCTGTGCGGGGATAATGCCTCGTCTGCGGTGGGGGAGGCGGCGAGAACCACGCTGTCCTCTGTGGACAGCAGCGTTCATCTGCTGTGTCCCTAATGGACACGACGGCGCCGTGGACAAAGCCAGTGGCCCCCTTGGTGGCTCCAGCTTCCGGGCTGAAGCTCAGCTGGGACCCAGTGAGGGGTACTCGGGGCTCCAGCGTCTCCTCATAGTCACGTGCAGAGTGAAAAATGCTTCCTGTGGTTGACAGAGCAAGTGCCATGATAAAAATGGATTTTTTGTCTGATTTCATGCTGTGAAGTGGTCAGTGTAATTTTTAGGTAACGTTAGGGGGTCCTCAAGGCCTTGCTCTGCCCCGTTTCCACTTAGTGGAAACAGTACCCCCTGCGCGGCAGGCGTGGGAGTCACTTGTTCCCCGGTGTCCTTAGGAGACTTTTTTTTCTTTTGTCTTAGGGGACTGTTAAGTTCAGGCAAATCATGCTAGGTGTGGAGACAGTCTGACATTCATCAGTAAAGAAAGTGGGAGTGAGCGATTGTGAATGTGTAATGCAAATGGAAAACCAGGTGTTACTGTGTTAAGTTACTCACTAGGGAGCAGCTGCAGCTCTTTCCAAGCCTCTTTCTCTCCAAACCTGACAGCTGCAGAAAAGGAAGCGTGTGAGGAAAATGGAACCTGTCAGGGTGGGTTGGAGGCGTCTGTCCACTGTTCCTTTGCAAGGTGGAAGCAGTGAGCTTTCAGACCCACTGATTAAAAACACACATTCCTAAGTGTATGTGAGAGACACTGTTTGTTAATTAAAAATCTTTTTTCTCCGTCTCTTAAATCATGGCTTTCAGGTAATAAGGATACTTTTAGCGAAAAGTTGTTTTTCTTTCAAACCACAGACCTTTTTAAAAGACTTTACTTTGAGCGAATACCTTTCTATTTGACACTTTCCCTGTTTCTGACCTTAGGAAACCAGAAAGCATTTGACAGATGCGATGTTTTCAGTTGACTTTTGACACCTGTTGCACTCCCTTTCGCTTTGCGACTTCTCCATTTAACAATAAATTATCTGAAAAACAAAACTTCGGGAGATGCTTATTTTTAAGTAAAATTATGTTTCGTCAAACAAAATGAGAAAAACAGCTCCTCATCTTGAGAAATTTTAAGACGTGATTATATTTAACAATATAAATCTACAAGTACAAGATTTTCCAAGGGTGGCTGAGCACGGGGACTCACACCTATAATCCCAGCGCTTCACAAGGCCAAGGCTGGAGGATTGCTGCAGGCCAGGAGTTTGAGATCAGCTTTGGCAATGTAGCATGACCTAATCTTTACAAAAATTAAAAAGAGGAAAGGGGCCGGTTGTGGTGGCTCACATCTGTAATCCCAGCACTTTGGGAGGCCAAGGCAGGTGGATTACTTGAGGTCAAGGGTTCAAGACCAACCTGACCAATATGGTGAAACCCTGTCTCTACTAAAAATACCAAAATTAGGCAGCGTGGTGGCAGGTGCCTGTAATCCCAGCTACTTGGGAGGCTGAGGCAGGAGAATCGCTGGAACCTGGAAGGTGGAGGTTGCCGTGAGCCGAGATCGCACCACTGCACTCCAGCCTGGGCAATGGAGCCAGACTCCATCTCAAAAATAAGTAAATAAAACAATAAAAATAAATAATTTCTGTGGCTTGCTTCAGGGGAGAAAAGGGTGAGGGAAGGCCAGAGAGCCCTTTGCTTCTGCTGTTTTCTCAATTTCCTGGAGCTTAAAACACACAGTATGCCAAGGTACCAGAGTTTGGGGTGGCATTTCCTGCATGCCGTCAGTCCCTTTGGGCAAAGCAGAGAGTCAACAAGAAACATTGAAAATGGAGGGAGGCCCCATATTTCATTCAAGCATCCAATTCATGGCAAGGCTCTGTGTGTATTTGTCTTTGAGTGATGACTGGGAAGTAATTATGTCCCAGAGATGCTGCTCTGTCCAAGACGGAGGACATCTTGGATACTGGAGGCCGCCATCTTGGATGCTGATCTGCCATGTTGACCTGTGATTCACCCCAGTTCCGGGCTGCCTCTAAGATTTCTATGTTATCTGTGGTTCCTTGTCCAAGAACACATGCTCACCACAGATCCCACAGAGACAGGTTCACGTGGGGTTCTTGCCTTTCCCTGCAGGTGTCCCACACAATGCTTCCCTGTGGTGGACAAGGCCTGGGTCTGGGGGTGAGGGCACAGGGATCCACCATCTCCTCCCGCTGCTGCCCGGGACATCAGGGCTTCTGCCCATGAGTCTCTATTAGATGTTTCTTTCTGTTTTGTTTTGTTTTATTGAGACAGGGCCTCCGTCTCCCAGACTGAGGTGCAGTGGCACAGTCGTAGCTCCCTGCTGCCCAAGAACCTCTGGACACAGCGACCTGCCCACCTCAGCCTCCCGAGTATCTGGGACTACAGGCACACGCCACCACATCCGGCTTTTTAAATTTTTTTGTAGAGACAGGGTTTCCCCACGTTGCCCAGGCTGGTTTCCAACGCCTGTGCTCAAGCAATCTTCCTATCTCAGTCTCCCAAAGTTTTGGGAGAGAGAGCGAGAGCCACTGTACCAGATTCAGTGTTTCTTTCTGAGGAACTAAATTTGTCAGCCTCTTTCTTCAGCCTCTCAGCTTCCCTGAACCTCCAGAGTGGATTTGTATGGCTTGCCCGTTGCAAAACAAATGCAGAGTGTAATTTCTATAATTTATTTCAGCCCCCTTTTAATAGAAGTTATGTCTGATTTGGCTGATTAGGGTAACAACCGGGACTAATTTTGCCAATTAGGCATGGTGTAAATGTTCCATAAAATGAATTGGCTAATCAGCAGTTCCAAGGTTTTGAGGGGAAAATATTTAAAGCACAAAAGATTAAGTCTATAGGGGTGTGCAGGTGTGGGTATGTGTAGAGGAATAGTCAAAAGGGTGTTGAAACTAAGAATGTCCCCAACCTTTCTAAGTATCTCAGATTAAGCTGGTGCTCCCAAGAGGAAAAGTAGTAAGTATAATTAACAACAATAATAATAATTAATAATATGATGAATCTCAAGCCTTTTTGGTATAGTCTGGAAATTAAGGAAGTGAATGGCCCAGCATGGTGGCTCATGCTTGTAATCTCAGCACTTTGGGAGGCCGAGGTGGGTAGATCATGAGGTCAGGAGTTCGAGATCAGCCTGGCCAATGAAACCCTGTCTCTACTAAAAGTACAAAAATTAGCTGGGCATGGTGGTGGGTGCCTGTAATCTCAGCTACTCAGGAGGCTGAGGCAGGAGAATTGTTTTTGTTTTTGTTTTTGTTTTTTTGAGATGGAGTATTGCTCTGTCACCCAGGCTGGAGTGCAGTGGTGCGATTTTGTTTCACTGCAACCTCCGCCTCCTAGGTTCAAGCAATTTTCCTGCCTCAGCCTCCCACGTAGCTGGGATTACAGGCGTGTGCCACCACACCCAGCTCAGTTTTGTATTTTTACTAGAGACGGGGTTTTACTATGTTGGTCAGGCTGGTTTCGAACTCCTGACCTCGTGATCCACCCCACCTCAGAGGATAATTGTTTAAACCCGGGAGGGAGAGGCTGCAGTGAGCCAAGATCACACCATTGCACTCCAGCCTAGGCGACAGGGCGAGACTCTGTCTCAAAAAAAAAAAAAAAAAAAGAAGAAGTGAATGACTCTATTGATTAGGTAACAAATCCCATTGCAAAGCATACCGCTTTTCAAAATTCAATTCTGATAATTTTGAGAATAATCACTATCAAGTGGTTTGTTTTTACTACTATTTCCAGATTGCTTTCAAATACAAGTTTGGGGAATGAAAAGCTGAACAAGCTAAATGTGTTTATTGCAGGGCTTCTTGGGATGTATGTATTAGTCAGCTCTTGCTGTATAACAACCACTGCATACAACAGTAAGCATTTATTTCCTGTATACTAATCTATAGTCCGATACAGCAATTCTGCCCCTGGCTAGGTGTTGAATTCAGATCTGTTCCACTCGGCCCTGAAGTAGGGTAGAGAGGTGGCTTGGGCACTTCCTTCTCAGGGCAGAAGCCATGTAATTCCTCTGAAGGCCTACATGGGGACCTGGCTTGCTGTTACTTCCACCACATTCTGTTGGCCAAAGCAAGTTACATGGATGGCTACACCAAACATCAGAGGTCAGGAAACCATCACACTTCCTCCACAGATGTGGGGAAAGCAGTGAATATTTGCTCTAAAATCATCTACCCCAGCCGTTAATATGGTAATGTGCATTGGGAGTCTTCAAAAGAGAAAATCTAGTAGATAGCACTTTCCAAAGTCAATAGACCACAGAACCCATGAGCATTTCAAGGGACTAATGTTTTCGGAATGAACTTTAAGAAATGCTAGTTTATATGTATAACATTCAGAGACCAGTCAGGGAACCAAAACTGTACTAGACATTTAACACAGAGAGCTGCTGACACAGATGCTGGTAGGCTAGGCAAACAGGGACCATGGAAGTAACCCAGATGACCACTAACTGCAAGAGGCAGCTCCCACCCCAGCACCCCTCTCATGGCAATTTCTACCTACAGCAGCTAGAAAAAGATGAGCAAATTAAACTCAAAGTAAGAAGAAGGAATTGGCCGGGCATGGTGCCTCATGCCTGTAATCCTGCTGAGGCAGGAGAAGCACTTGAACCTGGGACGCAGAGGTTGAGGTGAACTGAAATCGCACCATTGCACTCCAGCCTGGGCAACAAGAGCAAAACTCCACCTCAAAAAGGAGGCGGAGGCGGGCGGATCACCTGAGGTTGGGAGTTAAATACCAGCCTGACCAACATGGAGAAAACCCGTCTCTACTAAAAATACAAAATCAGCCAGGCATGGTGGTGTATGCCTGTGATCCCAGCTACTTGGGAGGCTGAGGCAGGAGAATTGCTTGAGCCCGGGAGGCAGAGGTTGTGGTGAGCTGAGATGGTGCCATTGCATTCCAGCCTGGGCAACTGGAGCGAAACTCCATCTCCAACAATAGGAACAACAAAAAACATCTGAAGGTCTGACAGCACTGAGCCAATGTTCAACATGGTGGCAATTTAGGGGTATTGAGTTACAGCGGTCAGCAGTATATGTCAGGGGACACATTCTACAATTTAATCCTCACCACTTGGATACAGGCCCAACAGGATTTGCCATTTCTTCAAAGCACATGTATGCATTTGTCTCTGTCAAAAGTGGGAAAACAAAAACAGACCTAGAAAGGGAAGATCTCAGTACAGGGGCAAGAAGGTATTTTTTTGAAGGAAGTGAAACAATGTTGCTGCTTAATCTCCAAATAGAGTGCTCTCAGGAATTTTTCCCAAACCTAGCTTGCTTTACCTTAGGATGTCCTAGTCATTGTTTTATTACTTTCCTTGACCCTGGAGACATTTGAATTTTAGACCCCTTGACCTTGGAGGTTTTTAGGGAAACCCTACATCAGGCAGGTCCTTTCAACCTGGCTCTCTGCCTGGAGGTCTGATTGTCAGCCACCCTTCCAGACCTGGGAGCCTGTGCCCTCCTCCTTCGATGCTCTCAGGCTGCTTTGGCCCTTCCACTTCCCTAAGTCCAGAAGCACTAGTGCTTGACATCAGGCTGACAGCTGGCCCTCTGCTGTCTGTAACAACTTGTCTGCCTCACCCCTGAGTCCTTTAGCGTGAAATAATAAGAAATATGTATTTATTGGTCTCTGTCCAGTTCTTGACACAGAGCTCTTAAAACTATTATGGATAGGGAAACTGGGAGATCTTTTATTCTGATATTTGGCCTTTGGCCCCCACATCCTGATACAGAACTCCTAAGACCTTTGTAATTTCCTGAGAGACAGGAGTGTCTAACACAGAGCCCCTGCATCCCTTGGAATTTCCTGGGTGATAGGAGCACATTTTGTTCTAATGAGGTGACTCCTGGTGGGCACCTGGATAGCTTTGGGAACCCACCATACGATTAGAGGGTTGGAACTTTCACTCCCACCCCTACAACCTCTGGAGAGGGAAGGAGGGCTGCAGGTTGAATTGCTCACCAATGGCCAGTGATTTAAGTAATCATGCTTACATAATGAAGCCTCCA